TTCTATTTTTAGTAGAGATGGGGAGTCATTCCTGCTCAGGCTGGTCTCGAACTCCTAGCCTCAAGAGATCCTCCCACCTTGGCTCATTAAAGTACTGGGATTACATGTGTGAGCCACTGTGCCTGGCTTGGGTTGTTTTTTTTTTTTTTTTGAGATAGGGTCTTGCTTCATTGCCCAGGCTGGAGTGCATTGGCATGATCATAGGTCACTACAGCCCTGAACTCCTGTGTTTAAGCAGTTCTCCTGCCTCATCTTCCCAAGTAGCTGAGACTAGAGGTGGCCTTTTTTGTTGTTGTTGTTGTAGTGATGAGGTCTCACTATGTTGCCCAAGCTGGTCTTAAACTCCTGGCCTCAAACAGTCCTCCCACCTTGGCCTCCCAAAGTGCTGGGATTACAGGCATGAGCAGCTGTGCCTGGCTGAACTAAAGATTTGAACAGTCATTGTACCAAAGAAGATGAAATATGTATGGCAAGTAAGCACATGAAAAGATACTTAACATCATTAATCATTAAAACTATAATCTAATACCCCCAATGCACCTATTAGAATGGCTAGCAAACAAACAAAAATCCCTGATAATCCCAATTTCTGGCAACGGTGGTGCATGTGGAGAAACTCTCTTATATTGACCTCTCATATATTGCTGGTGTGAATACAATGGCACTTCGGCACTTTGTCAGTTTCTTGTAAAGTTAAACATACCAGGTGACCCATCAATCCCACTTGAGGGTTTTTTTTTTCTGTATCAGATAGGTAATATGCCAATGTCACAACAAGGTTTGAGGGAGGCCCATCTCACATATGAGTTTGAAAACCGAATCATCACAAAAGGATCCCAGTTGAGGTATTTACCCAATAAAACCTATGTTCACTGAAAGCCTGTACATGAATATTTATAGCGACTTCATTTATAATCACCCAAAACTAGAAACCATCCAGATGTCCTTCATCTGGGGAATAGATAAACAGACTGTGGTACATTCATAGATGGAATACTATTCAACACTTAAAAGCCACAAACTGTTGATACTCAAAACAATATGGATCAATCTAAAATACATTATGCTAAGTGAAAGATGCCAGACTCAAAGACTAGATAAATTGTCTGTTTCCATTTAGGAGACTTTCTGGAAAAGGCAAAGTTAAAGGGATAATAAATATATCAGTGATTTCCAGGGTTTAAGAGTGAAGAGAGGGCTTGACTATAAAGGGAGAGCATAAAGGAATTTTTTGGGGGGTGATGTAACTTACGTATTTTGTTTGTGGCACTGGTTACATGACTGAGTATTTGTTGAAGTTCACAGAACTTACAGTCAATTTTACTAAATTTAAGTTTTAAAATAAGGTTAACTCACGCCTGTAATCCTAGCACTCTGGGAGGCCGAGGCGGGCAGATTGTTTGAGCTCAGGAGTTCGAAACCAGCCTGAGCAAGAGCGAGACCCCGTCTCTACTAAAAATAGAAAGAAATTAATCGGACAACTAAAAAAATATATAGAAAAAATTAGCCGGGCATGGTGGCGCATGCCTGTAGTCCCAGCTACTCGGGAGGCTGAGGCAGAAGGATCGCTTGAGCCCAGGAGTGTGAGGTTGCTGTGAGCTAGGCTGACGCCACGGCATTCACTCTAGCCCGGGGAAAAGAGTGAGACTCTGTCTCAAAAAAAAAAAAAATAAAGTTAAATATGTGGCTTAGGAAAAAGGAAGCTGAGATATTAATCAGCTTCCCCTGTACCCCCTACACAAAAAAAATCTTACTGAAGCTCTGGACAAATGGAAAGATATATACCATGTTCTTAGATGGCTTTTTGTTTTTTGTTTCTTTTTCTCATTGTGTGCCCATTCTTGGAGGGTCTGAACTAATTTTATTCCTAAAAATTGGCCTTTGCAATCTCACGTGACCACCTCTCTCACAGTAGTTCCTGGGCTTATGGGGGAGGGGTGTCTTGTTCAGCAGCAGGGCATTGGCAGTCAGGTCCAGTGGAATGCTAGATGCGGAAGATTTCCAGGCTTCCTCAAATCATCTCTAGTCTTCAGGATATCATGATTCACAGATCAGGAAATGTTATAAATGAGGTACCAGGCCAATTTTCCCAGAGGGCTTTTTAGTGTCCTTATAAAGTTAACCTAATTCTTCAAGACAATCGGGGCATATCTGAAAATATGCCATTTCAGTCGAAGCCTTGGTAAATTAACCAGCGTCTTCCATCGTGTCCATTTTGTTTTAAGCTATAAATAGTTAAACAGAAGGAAAAAAGTTTTCTTGACTTATTTTTCTTGGGCCATATTCTCTAGGATTTCTGCTTCCCAGTGGACCACTTACATACAAAAGCCTCATGCGCCTCTCGTGGGGGAAGAAAACAGGAAATTAAATGTCTGCTTAGATGGCCTTTAGATGCAAGTTTTTTCCAGATTAATATACACATTTAATATAATTCCAATTAGGATCCCAACAGATTCTTTTTTATTTTAATTGGAAAAATGATCTTAATGTTTATGTGAAATATAAACAGATAAGAATAGCCAAGAAAATAATGAAGAATAGGAAAGTGACTTGCCTTACCAATTATTAAACAAACTGGAAGCCACTGTATTCAAACAGTATGGTAACTGACATAGGAATAGATTGGTGGAAAGAAGCAGAACCCAGTATAGATGGAAACTTAATATACAATAAATGTATTCTTTATGTCTGTGGAAAAGTAGTTTAAGTGATACTAAAGCACAACTGATTAACCGTCTAGAAGAAAATATTGCATAAACTACAGTGAATTCCAGATGGATTAAAAAGTTAAATGTCAAAAATGAAGTCTTAGGAAACTAAAATTTAGGTATGCATTCATATATTGCTGAGTGACTATGGTTGTCATTGGAGGAAAAGACTCTTCCATGCCAGTCTTCTTCCCCTAGTTTTCCAGAGATAACTGCAGTTACTGATTTGTGTATCCATCTAGTATTTTTTCTGTGTATTTAAATATATGCAAGAAAATGTGACTGTAGAAAATATAGGATTATTCAGGATGGTTCTTTTTTAGGTACAAAGTGTCATATTGTACATTTTTTTGAGATTGCATTTGTCACTCAGCAGTATGTCTTAAAGATCTATCCACTTCAGTACATATAGATCTATGTTATTCTTTTAACTGTTACTTGGATATAACCAAGTTTAGCATGCTGTGACTCATTTAATCCTGGGTAAGTTACTTAACCATCTTAACCTCAGTTTCTTTATGTGTAAAATGGAATGATAGTGTCTCAAACGGTTGTTGTGGGGGCCGAATGTGTAAACTTATACAAGTTATATATAAACTGTATAGAACAGTACATGGCATGTAATAAGCTTTATTACTGACATTTTGGTTATTTCTAATTTTTCACAATTACAAACCATTCTGCATTGAATATCCTTTTACATATCTCCTTATATATATCAGGGAGTGATGGGAATAAAGTAACCAAAAGTGAATTTTCCAGGGCTCTCGTGTGCTGTGCACACCATATAATATACACATAACGTAGGGCTATTATGAAGTCTTAACAAAAAACCCTTTTTAATGGAAGTCTTTTCTTTTGCCTCTAACAAGTTACCTTTTTCTGGATACTCTTGAGTTTCATAAAAATACATTCCTATCAAGGTATGTTTTTATCTTTATCAAACAAAAAATGTTTTGTTTGAATCCTTCTCATATTTCCATCACTACCCTGGATTTATTTATATATTTCCTTTGTTATTCTGGGAAGGGAAAGGAATTGATTTAATATGTTGTCAACCATCTTGAAGTGAAAATTATTTTTATTATTTATTTATTTCCATATTAAATCGTGTCATCCTTGTGCAGGGGCCATGCTAATCTTCTCTGTATCGTATATGTGCTGCCGAAGTGAGCACTTGAAGTGCAAATTATACCTGAATGTTTATTAGCAGGCATATTTGAACTTATTTTTTTATAACATCAAAACTTGAGACAGTTCTTTCATTCCCTTCTCTCCTGTTCCCCCTTGCACAAACAGGAATTGTTTTTATTCTTCTTTTTCTACTAATTAGGTTTTAATGAACTAATCTGGAATTTTAATTTCAGACTGTTTTTTTGCATTATCTGTCATCTATTTTAGTTAATATTTAGAAAACGCATTTAATTTTACCAATCACATTAGCCACGATTACTTAGGCTTAACTCTAAGTAAAATTTATTGGAAATTTCTTATTATTTTTTCTTTTTTTTTTCCTTTTAAAGGGCAGTTTGCTATTTATTTGTGGTTTCTTACTATTTATTGTATGCCACACATTCCTTTTCTAACAACTTTATTTGGCCACATTTTATTGAAGTTCTTTGAGCAATATTTTCAGAAAGGTTTACTTTCCGTGTCCCTGTGGTCTGGAAATGTAGGTATTTTTCCCTTTTAAACTTCATTGATAGATTATCTGGGTACATAATTTTAGGCTCACAGTCTTCCCTCAGAATTCTGTATAATTGCTCCTTTACTTCTAGCATTTAATGTAGCAGATTAGAGGTCCAGTGCCTGTTTGAAGATTTTTCCCTGATTGATAACCTGATACTTCTGTCTGGAAACCTAGAGCACTTTTATTTTGGCAGTTCAGAAATTTAACTAGAATAAATGTCTAGTTGTCTAACATTTTGATTATGCTTGCCCTGATATTATAGATCTTTTAGATATGGAAACTCAGGGATTTCTTAGGGAAACTTTCCTGTTGTCTGTTTTATTACTTTTTCTCAATTTATTTTGAGATATTTTTCAAGATACTGATTTATTATGCAGGCAGGTTTATAATGTTATGAAATGTAACAACTGCATTGTGCGGGAGGTGTCAGTAACTATTAATATCTAAGAAAGGATATCAGTGGTTATATAGGTCTTGAGAAAAGATTTGACAGGCTAAAATAAATAAATACACAAATACAATAAAGCACTAATTTGAGTGATGTTAGAAATGTGCATGAGGATTTCTATGACTTTAATTTGGAAATTGTTCTTCCATTTCAGGACCGGAAGTTAACCAAAGCTGAACAGCAAAGGTTCAAGGAAGAAGCAGAGATGTTGAAGGGTCTCCAGCATCCCAATATAGTTCGATTTTATGATTCCTGGGAGTCTATATTAAAAGGAAAGAAGTGTATTGTATTAGTGACTGAACTAATGACATCCGGAACCTTAAAAACGTAAGTTGACCCTGATATTGCCAAAGAAGTTTTATTTGGAAATAATTTTCAGGAGTCATAAAAGGTGTTTATAAAATAATAATACTTGATTAAAGAATTTGTAGAATCTGAATCTAGTGACTGTATTTCAAGGTAGGTTAAAAAATTGAGATGGTATGAAGTTTGTTAGAAAATACAGTGCTGAGAAATTAATATTTGTGGGATATCACAATTTTAGAATTGGAAATCATTATAGAGAGAATATAATTTCATTTTGTAAAAGATAATCAAAGGTTGGGGGGCTTGGCCAAGTTCACATATCTAGCGAACAATAGTGCATAATTATAGTCTTGTTTTGTTTCTAACCACAATTTTTTATTTGGTAATATAATCACTTGCAAAAATTAAATGTGGGGTATACTTTTTGTTTCCTAGCGTTTTTGCACTAAAATTTTTATAGTTAAACCCTCTGGTGACTCTATGTAAGCAGTTATTAGAAAGTAGAGAAGGACTTTTCCTTTTTAAATTGTGCTGCCATTCCCAAAAGGCCACTTTAGAATGATTTCTTGTTTTGAATTAAAAATGCTACACTTGGTAGGATGACTTTTCTAAGAATGAGATCTTAGATTTAAAATTGTTTTGCTGTAACAGATGATAGAAAACAACTCAGTGGTGGCAATCATAGTACGTAAATTATCAACTCGCTTGTGTGATTTTCCCTACTAATGTTCATACAGTAAGCTGGGTATGTTGGTTTATATGTGGTCTTTTGTTTCTTTGTATAGGTACTTAAAACGATTTAAAGTCATGAAACCAAAGGTCTTAAGGAGCTGGTGCAGACAAATTTTAAAGGGGTTGCAGTTCCTGCATACTAGGACTCCCCCTATTATTCACCGGGATCTGAAGTGTGACAATATTTTCATCACGGGACCCACAGGATCTGTGAAGATTGGTGATCTAGGACTAGCCACCTTAATGCGCACATCATTTGCTAAGAGTGTCATTGGTGATTAACATTTAGAGTTTATTGGTTGGGTAAAGAGAGATTTTTCAATTGTATACATCTAGAACAGGGATCAACCAACTATGGCCCATGGGCCAAATCTGGCTCACTGCCTGTTTTTATAAGTCAAATTTTATTGGAGCACAGCCACACCCACTCATTTACCAATTGTCTATGGCCGCTTTTGCACTACAGTGGCAGAGTTGAGTAGTGTGACAAGAGACCATATGGACTGCAAAGCCTAAAATATTTACTGTCTGGCTCTTTACAGAAAAGTTTGCCAATCCCTGGTCTAGACTGGGAATGTGCTTTGAAATATCTATTATATATTGACTTATTTCTGAGACATCCTAGTGTATTTTTGAGGGGATATATTTAGGATTATTGAAAGGTGCTGAGGACTTAAGAGAATTATATTAAGTTAATTCAGAAAAATTTGAATAACTAAAAAGAATAGAAATAAAAATATTTTATTAATCATTACCTAATCTTGAGCATTACAAATTGTACTTTATCTGTACAGAAAGTTAAGGAAATTCTTTAAGTACTTTATGTAGATATAACAAGTATTCAACAAATTTTATACTTATAAATTTTCTTTTTTATACTTATAAATTACCTGTGTAGAAATTAACACAGGTGATCTTTATAGGAAAAGGAATGTGATCTTGGTGGTATTTTTCTCTTTAATAAAAATGTGGTTGTGGTGTTATTTTGTAGGGACTCCTGAGTTTATGGCCCCAGAGATGTATGAAGAGCACTATGATGAATCTGTAGATGTCTATGCTTTTGGAATGTGTATGCTGGAAATGGCTACTTCAGAGTACCCTTATTCTGAGTGTCAGAATGCAGCTCAAATATACCGTAAAGTAACTAGTGTAGGTATAACTTTATTCTTTTTACTTTACAAATTGTTACGTTTCATGTTGAAATTAGTAAAGTTGACCTAGTCAAGCCTAATTTTGGTTTAGTTATGTATAACTATGCTAAACTTTACAATTGTAATGAAACAAGCTTTGTATTTATATTACATACCTATACTTTATTGGGATCATATAAAATGCTCTGTCTTAGTATCTTTGGGAATATGTCCAGATATATCATCTATATCCATTTGTTTGTAAAGAGTTTTTAGATATTTATTAGGCAGATTTTATTTTTCAAAGCTGAATAATAGATTGGCTGAATGGTTTTGAAGGTTTCTTCTAGTTTTAAAAGCCTGATTATGAAGGGGCATTCAAAATATAGTTCAGCTGATACAGTATTTGAGTCCTTGCTATGAGTAATTTTTTGTGTTAGAAATTGCAAGGAATGCAAAGATAAGTAAGAAGTACTTACTCTTACTTACATTTCTAGTATGGAAATAACATAAGTTCACAAATAACTATAAAATAAGAGGATGGGAGTATAATAAGGGGACATAAGGAAGGTAGAAGCAAAGTGTTCAAAGGAATACTACTTCATATTCAGTTGGGTGGCTCAAGATAGACCACAAAAGAGATTTGGGTAGCTAAGACTAATAGGTACTTGTTTTTCTGTTTGTTTGTTTGTTTGTTTTTGAGACAGTCTAGAGTGCCATGGCGTCAGCCTGGCTCACAGCAACCTCAAACTCCTGGGCTCAGGTGATCCTCCTGCCTCAGCCTTCCGAGTAGCTGGGATTACAGGCTAGTGCCAGCGTGCCCAGCTAATTTTTTCTATTTTTAGTTACCCGGCTAATTTTTTTTCTATTTTTTAATAGAGATGGGGTCTCGCTCTTGCTCAGGCTGGTCTCGAACTCCTGACCTCAAGCGATCCTCCCGTCTTGGCCTCCCAGAGTGCTGGGATTACAGGTGTGAGCCACCACACCCAACCTTCGGTACTGGTTTTTTAAATCCTTTTTTATTAATATTATTTTTAGTCAACAAATTGTATACATTTATGCGGTACATTGTGGTGTTTTGATACATGCATACAAAAATATGGAATGATTAAATCAAACCAATTAATATATCTGTCACCTCACTTATCATTTTTTGTGATGAGATATTTGAAATTTACTAAGTTATTTTGAAATATACATTATTATTGACTATAATATTGCTGTGCAGTAGGTCTCTAAACTTATTCCTCCTGTCTAACTGCAACTTGTACCCTTTGACCAACAACTCCCCATTGCCTCCCCTCACCCTCAGCCTCTGGTAACCATCATTCTACTTTTTACTTCCATGAGTTTGACTTTTTAAGATTCCAGATATAAGCGAGATCATGTGGTATTTGTCTTTCTGTGTCTGGCTTATTTCACTTAATGTAATGTCCTCTGGGTTCATCCATGTTGTCACAAATCACAGAATTTCCTTCTGTTTTTAAGGCTGAATATAGTATTCCATTGTGTCTATATGCCACATTTTCTTTATCCATTCATCCATTGATGGATACTTAGGTGTTTCCATATCTTGGCTGTTGTGAATAATGCTTCAATGAACATAGGAGT